TAATTATAATAAAATATACTTTTGATTATAACAAATGTGTACCATATTTAGGTGGTAATAAATAGTAAATATGTGTCATAAGCAGTGTAAAATGAAATAATGTAATCCAAACATTTCACATTATATTTTATCTTGTTATTCAGTTATGTTTTGTAATGTCAATATCCATAACCTCACATTAAGGATCAGAACGATTAGAGCTGCCAATTTTGTAGATATTATTTGTGCCTGCATTGTTCTTGTGTACAGCAGATGTTCTATTCCAATTCCCTGAACTTAATAATAATAATACCCTGTGCATTAGAAACACAATAGTGCAGTGACCCCCAACCTTTTGGGCACCAAGGACCAATTCCGTGGAGAAAGATTTTTCCACGGATCGGAGGGGGCATGTCTGTTTTGTCTGTTGCCTGCATCCCATGAATAGGGCTTTGCTTGTTTGCATGGCCCAGTTGCTGTCATGCCGTGGACCGGTGCTGGTCCACAGACTGAGAGGCTGGGGACCCCTGCAATACTATGCAGCAGAGATCTGAAATCAACTGTTCTGTTTACACAAATGATTAACATATCATGGTTATTATGGAACCATGGGATACTCCCAGCATATCTGAGCATCTGCATATTTATCAGGACACAAACTTGGGGCATTATCTGCTGATCATAACAATAATAGCCAGTAAAGTACTTATCAACAGTTTCCTTGCCATTAATTTCCTAATGAAATATAGGCTTAAAGGAAATCTCAATACTGAAAAAGAAGCTAGACAGGTGAAACTGATATTTATACAATATTTCAACCCATTTGAAATAATAATAGGACAATTGGATGTGTGTATTGTGTGTGTGTTCATGTGCATGAAAGAATATTCCTTAGGAAAAGATTAGAGGAAAGGATTAAATTGGCCCACAATGATCCAATCTCCTTCCCTAATTGATTGCAGTTATCTATTACAAGACATCCATATTAAAATATTTGGCCCTTAAACAATAACATCTACTACATTCACAATAATTATCAAGATTTACTTCAATGTCAAAAATATACTATAAAAAACATACTGTTCAATTTCTCTGCAGAGTTGTGATGGGAGTTTGCAATCCATTAAAGTTTTCCATTCTTCTGCTGTACAAACACTGTGATATGAAAGCTTCTCCATAGTTACACGATATATACATTCTGAATGGTGAATTCTGTGATACATCTGAAATCATGATTTAATGGAAGAAATTTGTATTTTCTCTTACTTGAACAAAATTCCTAAGGTTTCAAACTAAAAAGTTATTCTTGTTGCTTACACCTATCCAAACAGGCCATTTCTGAAGAGCAATCAGACATAATTTAACAGAAAATAATTTGTTTTGTTTTTCTTCCCCTTTACAGCCTGCTGGGCTGATTCATCATGGTGGGGACATGTTCCTAACTGGGATGACTAAACAATCCCAGGAGTATATACCAAAAGCATATAATTCCATCATAGTCAAGGTGTGAAGATCATCCCAGCTGCCCAGCCAAAGCAAATAGGCACCATTAGAGATCTGCAATATAGGAAGATGCTGGAAATGGATGATTACTTAATGAGAATTGCCAAGGCACCATTTTATACCACAAAGGAAAAGGCATTGTAAACCACTCCATTATTCTCCCAATAAAGTAACATGAATAGAAAATATAAAGTGACTGAAGATGTAGTGTTATTAGATAGGCCTCTCTGGTCAGATAATACTCGACATGTTACTGAGAAAGAGCTGAAGATATTTGGTAATTACGATGTGACTAGATTAAAGCATTTGGGAGCCTAGTACTTGATGTTGCCATGAAGGAAAAGAAAAACTGAAATGGCAAATCAAAATTACAATGGGTTCATAGAATGCAAAAAGCACGAACATGGAAAAGCTCAACACAGTGGAAGATGGAATGAATCAACAACTCCTTGGCATGCTAGGTATCACCAAATTGAACCGGATATAAATTGGATCCATTCAGTCAGAAGATCATACTGTTCATCATTCAATACACAATATCAAAGAAGGAATGGTACTGCTTTTATAAGTCAGGAAGGATGTAGCATAGGAAGGTTGTAGCATAGGAAGGAAAAATAGGAAGGGCACATTAGGAACAATATTTGGCTATTATGCAATCAATGGCCAAATAATATTAATTAGACTTTATGGGCAACTCCTTAATATAATTATTGTCCAGATTTATGCTCCAACCACTGATACAAAAGAAGAATAGGTTGACAGGTTTTATACTTAAAGTCAATCTGATGCCAACCGAACATGAAAACAAGATGTGTTGTTTGTAACGGAAGACTACAGCATCAAAGTTAGAAATATTACAGAGAAAATTATGGCCTAGAAAACTGAAATGAAGTAGGATATGATTTACCAATTTCTGTTAATCCAATGATTTCTTAATTGCTAGTTATAGTAACACAGTCTTCCAGCAACCAAAACATTACCAGATGGAGTACACAGAGATCAAATTGACTATATTATTGGTACAAGGAGATGGAAAAGTTCAGTTACTGCAAAGAAATGGCCAAGGGATTATTGTGGAACAGATTATGTGCAAATTCCAAGCCAAACTAAAGCAGAGGAACAAAGTCAATCAGTTTTTGCAATATGATCTTTACCATCAACCTCACCCCCCCACACACACACAATTTACAAGAAGAACATTAGGAATTAGTGTGAAGTCCTGGACCTTATTGATAGGGAACTAGTGTACTTGTGGAATGAAATCACAACATTGCTAAGAAGCATTATGAAAGGGAAAACCAAGAAATAAAAGAAAACAAACTGGATGTCAGACCCAATGGTGGAAATTGCCAAGAGGAAATCATAGTCAAGAAAGCAAACATCTCAGAAAGGAACTTTACAAAGAATTTTAGAGAGCTTTTAGAATGGACAAGATGCATATTCAATTACACTTGTTGAAAACAGACACGAAAACAAGGAAAGTTTCCCAAAAGTTCTCAGAGCTCAGGAGATTCCAAGCTTAATTGATATACAAAGGATGTAAATGTACAAACAGTAAGTGAAGAAGATCAGACAAAGATGAAATGTGTATACTGATGTTCTGTTAAAAATCCAAGGAGATATTGAAGATACTTCCAACTTATAAGAATCTGTAATACTAGAGGATAACATTAGATCAGTATTCTGTTATTACCAGTCTGAAGGCTGCAGGAATTGATAGAATATCTGCAGATATATGGCAAGCAACAAAAGGAAAATCTGAAAACTTCCAACCAAAGTATATCAGCAAATCTGGCCAGCTGTTGGGAGCTTACTTAGAAGACTTATCAAAGTGTGCAAAGTATTACAAAATAGTATTAATTTTTCATGCCTTTAAAATAATGCTTAGGATCATCCAACTCAGACTAGAGTCTAACATGAAAGGGGAGTTGGTTGTAGAAAAAGCCAAGGAGCAGTAACATTATTGCTGATGAACAGTGAATAATTGAGAAAGCCAAAGAATATCAGAAAGTCAATATGTACTTCATATTAAAGGCATTTGATGGATTGTGCTTTGAAAAACGAGATACCCAGAACATCTCATTGTCCTCATATGAAATCAAGACACAAATCAGAAAGCCAAAGTCCAGCCAGGACACAACAAAACAAACTGGATGTTTCCAGGTTGGCTGAGAGAAGGCTATAGGTAATGAAAGTCATAGAGATAGTGAAAAATTTAGGCTAAGTTTTAAATATAAAGACAACTTTAAAAACAGATAGTGGGGGTTGGAACAATTAATCAGTGGAATGACTTGCCTCCAGAAGTTGTGGGTTCTCCAACATTAGAAGTTTTTAAGAAAAGATTGGACAACTATTCATCTGAAATGGAATAGGGTATCCCTGCTTGAGCAGAAGGTAGGATGAGAAGACGTCCAAGGTCCCTTTCAGCTCTGTAATTCTGTTATTCTGTACAGATAGTTGTCAACTTATAACCATTTGTTTAATAACTGTTCGAAATTACAATGGTACTGGGAAAAAGTGACTTATGACCATTTTTCACACTTAACGACCATTGCAACATCCCCAGAGTCATGTGATCACCTTCTGTGACTTTCTGACAAGCAAAGTAATGAGGAAGCCAGATTCACTTAACAACTGGGTTACTAACTTAATTGCAGTGATTCACTTTATAACTGTGGCAAGAAAGGTCATAAAATGGGACAAAACTCACTTAACAACTGTCTCACTTAGCAAGAGAAATTCTGGGCTAAATTGTGGTCGTAAGTCGAGGGCTACCTGTACACTAACACTTAGTAGGGTAGTTACGAAGGCCTTGGAAAAGATTTTAAGATGCTGGAATGTCTTCACCTACAAAGGTCAGAAGTGGGCTTTTTCCTGTGACACTCTATGAAAGTGAAAGTTGGATTTGGAGAATGTAGGATACAAAGAGGATTGCTGTTTTTGAACTTTGGTTTTGGAGGAGACTCCTGGGAAAACTATGGATAGCCAAAAATAGACGAACAAATGGGTAATTGAAAAATCAACCCAGAGTTACCACTTGATGCACAAATAATCAGAATCAAATTATTATACTTTGGGTACTTTGTGTGAAAGCTTAACTACCCAGTGAAGTCTATCATGGTTAAGAGATGAAAGGAAAGAGAAGAGAATGATAAGCAGCAAGATGGATGGATTCTATTAAAGCAATGATGGGTGCACTGTTGGAAGACCTGAATAACTAGGTTTGAGGTAAATCATCCTGGAGAAAATTGATTGATAACTAAGAGTCAACACCATCTTATTGGCACATCATCATCATCATCATTATCCTCATCAACAAAATAAAAATGTTTAAATATTTGAAATCAAGAACTTAACACAAACAAGCCCACAATATCAGAAACAGTTTAGTACTTGTAATCACTCATTGTACTAATTATTAGTGGTCAATATGTTATATTAAAAATAATGTTATTTTGTTTCACTTTGTTATTTTTGTAGGACAAAACTTACATTAGCGCAGTGCAATGCTAAAGCACAAAAGACTGCAAACATTTTAAAATTGTTCTCGTCGGTTTTAGAAAAGGCACTTCCAGTTAGTTTGTTCACCATCTGCACGACACCAATGACACTTCCGCGACTCACAATAGGCATGCATAAAATGTTCCTTGTTGTATAGCCTGTGTAGAGATCTACCTCCCTTGAAAATAGAAAGGAAGGAAAGAATAAGAAAAGGAAAACCAGTCATTCATTTCATAGTAATGCACTCATTCTATTAACAATAGTACTGGACATTTTTTTAGTGAGTAAGCCAATGTCCCCTTGGGAAGTCACATAGATGTGTCATGTGCAGTCAACCTTCCTTCACAAAAGAAAGGCCATCCTTTAGAGGTCAGCGTAAATCTTTATCACCAGTTGCTATTCCAGTGGATCTAACACTCCACTTCTTATTTTTCACCATAATATCCCTTTCCAAAAGTTAGTAAAGGAGGCCAACCGTGGTAGCAATATTTTCCAAGATGTAGGAAAATAAAGACAGTTGAAAAAGATGTGAAGGAAAAAAACACATGAATCTTAGAATTCTTCTGCTCCTATTCAAACTATTTCACATACATTAATTTGTTAAAATACACATAACATTCTTGCAAAGTCAACAGCATTATTTCTGTACTTCAAACAGGGATTAAACTGAGACAATATCTAAAGTCACCCTGACTTTATTATCAGCTTTGATTTGATCCGGAAATATCCTAATGTATACTTCACCACAGAAATCTTCCAGTTAATAAAGAAACTCCATTAGTGTATGGGATACACATATTAAGTTGTCCCTGGCCCTTAGGGATGCAGTTGACCAGAGGAAGTGTTTGGGAAAAATAATAATATAACTCATTAAGCCAAAGTGGTGGTGTAAATAAGTGGCTGTTCCTAGTGAGAAACTACATTCTGTGCAGAAAACTATATTCAATGCAGTTTCATGAATCTATTAGATGTGTAACATGACATATGACAAATTGGCAAGCTTAAGCAGAGGTTAAACATACTGTACATCAAAGCCTATTATTTAACCACCTTATTAACTGTATATGTTTTTCATATACAAATGAATGAGCTTTTCAAAAATCAATTACTTAGCATTCATTCTCCCGGTAACAATACTTTAAAGGGACAATACAATTCCTATATTAATTCATAAAGAAAACAATCTTCAGCTAACATACATCAGTTTTAATGCAAAACTATAAATATATTTTATTTCTTAATTGGTAGCTGGGGATTATTTACATTAAAGGAAACAGCTGTTTCTTTTAAACAATCTGTGTCTTAAAATGATACCCATGAACACTTCCTGTTCTTAGGTCAATATGCTCTCTAACTTTGATCAGGGTTCCAACTTTATATCCAGTGTTGGAAAAAAGAAATTCTTACCTGGAAATGTTGCTCTTGTGGGAGGGCATTTAGTTCAGAAAAAGTCCAGCCTCTGATGCTGAATAGGCAAGGCTAGGGAGCATTTCCTAAGGAGGTAGGACTTCTTTAGATCTCCAAGGTAATGCCAAGGTAGGAGATTATAATAGGCAAATCAACAAAAATTTTAAAAAAATAAGTTGCTTGCTAAAATAGAAGAACTGGCCACCTAAATCAATTGTATCAATGGTTAGAGAGGATCAGGGTTGACTCACAAGTTGGGCAGAATGATTTCCTGCCTATGAGAAGAACTGAAATTCAGAACATAAGAATTTCTTTTTCTCCCCTTATAGGCATGAGGACATTCACCTCAGGGATGTAAAAAGATAAAAACAAAAACCAGGATAATACATCACATGTTTAATTACCTCCAAGACATCTGGAGGAATAAGCCATGATTTCCTCTAGAAGTGGATGGAATATTCTGTATTCTAATTCTGAAGAGAACTATGACTATAGAGGATTTGTTTTTCCAGAGGAAAATCAGAGCAGATTAGTTTAAAAGTTTGGGTTAGAATTTGAGTCCTTTCTATACAGAGTTCCTCCTTTTTCAGAGATGTTCCATGAAAAAGAAGACAAGACTACTCTTGATGAACTGATGGAAGACAAGTGGCAGATCACTGAAAGGGAAATTTCTGTCAAGAGTCACATTATTGACGTTCATCAGCATCTGAGATATGCATTATTGACATTCTTCAGTATCTGAAGGTTTCTGCAAGCTGTGTTCTTCACATGCTGATGGAAGAGTTAAAAGCTTAAAGAGTTGAAATTTGCCACCAATTATCATCAGAATTTAGGTGAGGAATTTCTTCACAGCATTGTGGTAAGCTAACAAAACATAGTCTTATTGTTATGACTCAGAAATGAAGGATCGGTCCATGAAATATCATCACAAAGTTTCATTTTCAAAAATTCAAAACTCAGGTTGGGTAGGTAAAAATCTATGGTTACAGATTTTTGGGATACAGATGGTGTTATTCACATAGATATTTTTGAACCTGGCATTGCTATCAGTGCTAAACTACAATGCTCAACACTTTGACACAACGATTAAGCAGAATTCAGAAGTATAAGGACATTTTGCTGCAGAATGATTAAGACTTAGTGTCTGGTTCTTAAGGCTCTAGAAATAACAGAATGCTGATTCTGAAGGAAACTAGTGCAATAATCAAATAAAGAGGAATTCTGTGAAAAAAAGAAAACTATACCATTTTTCTTTCTATTATTCCCTTAATGCTTGCATTGGGGTAAAAGAGTGCTCTTCTGTCTTATAGATCACTATCAAATGCTGCTCCATGTTTCTACAATCTCAATTGTTAGTATGAATGCACTCTTCGTTAGATATTAAAGGATTAAAGGATTCTGTTGTTCTAAGAGTACTTCCTCTGACACGAAGTCACACATGATTTCTACTTGTGTGGGCCTCCAAACTGAAGGACAAGAGAAGACAAGGTGAAATTCTTTACGTGAGCTTAAGACTTTTGGCCAGTTGAATTCCAATCCAGCATTTCCCAACATTAGGGGAGAGATGAAATATGCCAAATCAATAATGCTCCACAGCATGAAAAATGGAATTGAAATTATGGTGGTTAAACATGGATATTAAAATGTTTCTCTCCACTTACTTTTTTTTTTTTTTACTTCTGGTTTGCATACATGCTCTTTCTTTTAATGTATGTCCCTCAGCTTCTTTCAAGAGCTCCAAACTTTCTTCCCTTGATTAAGGGAAGGAAAACTCAGGTGTCTAGGAAGAAAGCTTGCTTCCAAAGGTAGCCCTTGTTAGCCTTTTCCATCTAATCCTACAGGCGGGATATTTCCAGAACTGAATGCACTCACACCTATGAGGGGAGAAAGCTATAAACGTTGCTATCAGAAGAAGAAGAAAAAAATAACTATCTTCAAGCTTGAAGAACAGAATTGTGAGTCCTGGTTTGAGCCACATTTCATCTGGAAACTGGATACACTGGAAAGAGCAGAAACATTCTTACCATAAATTTCTGTTCCGTATAGAAGACATTTCTTAACCTTGGGATGGCACTACAAATACATGGGCTGGATGAAAAAACAAAGTTTCTCTAACAGAAATGGCTGATATGCTCTCCTACAACAAACATCCCTTTAGCCCCTGGCCTGGAACAGAACAAAACTACATATCTATGCCAATGAGTCCCCAAAGTGTTTTTCAAAAGGTAATTGGACTTCCTTGTTGTTTTTTTCTTGAAAACATTTCACTTCTCATCCAGGAAACGTCTTCACTTCTGAAAATGAGAAGTGAAGAAGCGTCTTGGATGAGAAGCAAAACCCTTTCAAGGAAAAACCAAGAAAGTCCAGTTGCCTTTTGAAAAGCACCTTTGGGACAATCATGATCTGGATGATTGAGAATCTCCATAGAATACAATATCTAAATAGGAGCATGTCAGAGCATGTTTAATTTGAGATACCATCCCAAAACTAAGAAATGCCTCTGAGAGAGAAGAGAAATTGTCTTATTTAAAAAACTAAAATCGTTTTAAAAATTAACTGCGTAAAAATACATCAAATACTGTACACATACCAATGTGTGCTGAAAGCCTAATGAATTCCTCCTACCTGTTAAAACGTGGATCTGCATAGGCATCAGGTATGTTGAGGACCTCACCAGTTCTTGCTACCTGACCAGCTATTCCTTTTTCAATAGAAAATCTGCATATATGTAAAGAGATATTAAAGCAATATGCTGATATGAAACAGTAACACTTGTAACTGATGAATATCATTCATCACTTGATAGTACTCACAAGCTGGGGCAAAAGGCAAAGTTAGAACCATTTCCTAACAGGTGAGGTATCCTATACACAAATTAATCAAGTCAAGAGCTAAGCACTAATATCATTAACATCTCACTCTAGCAGGATCTGCTCCCAAAGTACTTTTATAATAATGAAGATGTTTTAAGAATGCTGATTTTCCCTGAGTCAGGTGCCCTCATGAGTCACCTCTTTCCTGAAAGATTTCTTGGATAATATTCTGCACAATGTAGTGTCACTGATGCTGTGCTAAATTTGTAACACCTTGTGAAATGTCCAAATACTCACATGGGAACCAATAGGTTTTCTCCTCCCTGAACAGATTCCACAGACTATATTTAGATTAAAAGTCTGTACTTTGTTAAAACTGTAGGTACGGACATCACTTTTGCCTAGACTCTGGAATGGAAAACCTTAAATAAGTTCCCAGGTTTCCTAAGAGGGTTAACATGGTCAATACATATTTCCCAAGTAGAATTTGAGGGGGAAAAACCCTCAAAAATGTAACATTAATTTGATCCCCTGGGAAAATACAAAGATTTTGCTCTTCTCTGGTTTTAGCCTCTCTGAACTGAGTCTTAAGGAATTTCAGAAAGTAATATCAGTTTTTTAAGAGAAACTTTGGAAGCACTCAAAATAAAGCCTGTATTTGGTGGAAGATGATTCCATGGTAATGAAATTAAGAAGGCAGTTATGAAAAATGCACTTATGCTTATTAAGAGTATGGGGAAAATTTGTTTTCTATGCCACCAGTCATATTACACAATGCTGAGAAATACCTTTTCAATCACACAGGACTAATCTCTATTACCAAACAACTATTTTCCCATCTCCATCTAAATTCCTAAAGTCTCTGGAAATGTAGATATATATTCTTTAAATTGACTGAACATACAATCATAGGGCTGGAAGGCACCTCAGAGGTCTTCTAGTCCAACCAACTGCTCAAGGCAAGAGACCTTATACCATCCCAGTCAAATCATTGTCCAGTCTCACTTAACAACATAAACTTTGGGCTCAATTGTGTTTGTAAGTCAAGGACTACCTGTATAGGGCTCAATGCTCATGTCTGTCAGGATCTTTCTGAATCCTATCTTCCAAAGTGTTAGCAATTCCCTCCAGCTTGGTGTCATCTGCAAATCTGATGAGCTACCCTTCATCTAGATCATTTATGAAGATGTTGAAGAGTACTGGGCCCTAGACAAAACCCCACTGCATGATTCCCTCCATGTACAGTAAATGTAGTTCCATTAAGAATTACATACTGGGTGTGGTTGGTCGGCCAATTATGAATCCATTTGGTGGTAGTATTGTCTATCACACTTTTTTTTTATCTTATCAAGAAGTCCGCTGTGGTCTACTTTGTTAAATGCCTTACTGAAGTCCAAGTATACTATGTCCATAGCATTTCACTGGTCTACTAATTTAGTCATTTTATCAAAGGCAATAAGGTTTGTCTGACATGATCTGTTTTAACAAAACCATGCTGACATCTAGTAATCACTTTGTTCATTTCTAGGTGCTTACAAATCCTCCACTCGATTATCTTTTCCAATATTTTAACAGGTATTCATGTCAAGCTGATTGAACTATAATTTCCTAGATCCATTTTTTTCCCTTTTTGTAGACTGGTACCACCTCAGCTCTTTCCTAATCCTCTGGTAGTTTCCTTGTGCTACAGAAGTGCTGAAAGATTACATTCACTGGCTCTGATTACATAGGCCAGCTCTTTCAGAGCCCAGAGATGCAAACCATCTGATCCAGGTGATTTGTACTCGTCTAAAGTAGATAGGCATGATAAGAGTTTTGCAGAAGAATCAGATTGATAGAAAAGTGTAAGACATGAATGAACCCTTTCATTTAAAACATAAACTCCATTTACTGGAAAATACAGGTTGGAGCTATAAAGAGACAAATGTAGTTTAGAACAGATAATTTCTATCCCATTATTTCAGTTCCATCAGCCATCCATTTATAGACACTTTTGGGGAGAAAAGAACACCTTTACAGAGTTCTAAATATAGAATATCAAATTCTAGTTATGGTACTAATACAACCCTGAAAGTTGGGGATACATCTATCCAACCTGAGAAAAAGCTATCAGGACTGTATACTTCTTTGCCCATACCTTCCAACCTGACTTAGAGGCATGGGGAAACTAAGGTGATTGATTGCTTGTTGCTTTTATTTCTGCTGTGGCTTGTTCCATCATTGAAGTGTCCTTCAATGATGGAACTCTTGAAGAGTTCTACACCAATGTTGCCTTTCTATAAAGGCAAGGCAGGAAGTCAAGTACAAGTTAAGAGGACGTCAGTCCTTCCCTGAACACCACCTTTTTAATACAATAAGCGTGGACAGATTTCTTATTTATGGGAAGAAAATTAAGATAATAGCATGCCAATAACTTCCAAAGTTAATTATTTGAATATTCTTATTAAACTGGGTGAAATTTATAACCTTGTTAGGTACTGGAATAATGCATAAATGGCGAATAATGTGATAATAATAGTAATATTAGTAAAGTAAAGTTGGAAGGGACCTTGGAGGTCATCTAGTCCAACCCCCTGCTCAGGCAGGAAACCCTATACCATTTTGGACAAATGGCTGTCCAGTCTCTTCTTAAAAACCTCCAGTGTTGGAGCATTCACCGCTTCTGGAGGCAGGTTGTTCTGAAGGCATCATTATAATTTCAGGCATTTAATTCTGATGGTACAGACTGCTATTTGAAAACATAACAAAACTAACTTCAATGAGAATGAAATCATAGAATGATGAAAACTGTCACAGTATCTGTAAATATAGACAGAAGCTGAATTAAAGTATAAAACTTGTAAAAACAGACTACTATTCTTACCTTATTTCTTTGGTCTTCCTGAAGACCGGCTTCCCTTCATGTACTTCTCCAATATCAAACAAGTCTGAATACAACTCATTGTTCTTCTGATCTACCTGGAAGAGTGCACAGCGATCTGCATTCACCAGATTTTTTGCATATATCTATAAAGAGCAAAAATGGATTAACCAAAGTGGGTGTGGGACAAGGCCTGAATTGTCTTATATTTATATACTAACGGTAATTAATCTCAAAACATATACAATTTCTGTCTTGTTTATGGAGCTAGGTGGATGGTTATATACTGTAGACATGTTCTACTTATCTGTGATTTCATGTTGAGAGACCCACTAATTTTGGTTAAGCTATTTTCTCCAAGATCAGGCTTCACCATTCTGCGATTGTGGAAGATGAAGTTCTAAAACCCCTCAGTCTTCAGAAATATGGTACACAAAAACTTCAGATGTTGTGAATTCTAATCTAACTAAAATGTCTGATGATTCAAATGGCAGACGCAAACTATTTTTTTCCTGGTGATAATGTTTAAGTCGTTGCATTATAGTAAATAATATAACAAGTTGAAACAAAAGGATCTTTAAACAACATCGGTATTTTTAGTCCTTTTTTAATTTATTAGCAGAAAACATGGGAGATCATCTTTTTTGCCAAAAGCATGGTGCAGATAAAAACACATATTTAGCTCAAATTACATTTCTTTCCCAATAACATGTATTCATATAATGAAAGAGCAAGCTGAAAGAAAGTAAATTATCACTGTTTTTATATAATGTACTTAAACAAATAGTCAAGCAAGTTCTAACATATGTTACTATTAAGAGAATAAATAAAAGCTTCAGTTCAACATGTAACTTTGAGTCTCTGCTCTTTAAGCATTTAAAGATCTCTAGAGACACATTCTTATTGCTAGACTTTTAATAATTGAATTTAATATTAATTTTATGCCACATATTAAAGTTTTGTATTTTGTTTGTTTTTAATGTTGTCTCCTGCTCAGAGTTTATTTAAATAAATGGCAGGATATAAATCGTATACTATAAACATTTAATAATCAAAGGCTCCTCTTCATGTTTTTTTAATTCTCCTTTCCTCCTACGGCGTCTCTGTGAAGTTCTAAAGAGACCTCCAACTCTCTAGAATTTATCTGCTGGTGGGACAAGGGTTTACTAAGCAAAAGAAGAATTTGAAAAAAAAAGAGCCCTCTTTTTTCTAAGGCAGGAAGAATTAATGAACATAGAGCTTTGCTCAAATAGCTTTGGTTCCAAGCTACTCTTGGCAAGTGCTTGTTTTTATAGAGTAAGTTACTCCAAAGTGTTTCAGATACATTTTGAAGCCTATAAAACAATTTTAGAGACAAAGCTTATTTTGCTTTGTATCTCATCTTACTATTGTGGGAAGTCAGAGCCCCAGAGAAGGAAATATTAAAAGGGCAG